ACACACACACACACACACACACACACACACACACACACACGAAAGTGTGGTTGCAGTCTCGCGGTCGCACTACGCCTGACCTCAAAAACGTTGCAGTCATGTGACCATGAAGGATAACCCAATGGATGTGTTGATCGCAAGAAAGGGCACGCCCACGCATTAATCATGGCGACAGAACGCGCATGGAACAAAAATGCTACACGTGACATTTATTGACCTTGAAGCAGTGTGTTCAGACGGAGAGAGGATCATTCCGGAGGTTTGGGAGAAGGGAGATTAGGTTTGAAAAAAAAGACTCGAGTGAGGTGATGGCAGTGCGCGCAATGCTAATAGACCACCCACTCTTTATCGTTTGTCTCAGAGAGTTTTCTGTATAAAGACTTCATTTTTTGAACAAGTTTCGGGTAGCTCAGAAAAAAGCATATGATTTCGATATCAAACACAGCGTTCATATTTTATCACACCGACCGTATTCTGAGAGGACAACACGTTATTAAGGCCACCCAAAGTTACGCGGAGAGAAAACATTTGTTTAGCGATGTAGCACTTTATACTGATAGTGTTATCATTAAAATATAACAATGTTGTATAATTTGTGGTCAACTATAGAAAACATCCACCTCCAACTTTTTTCATTTCGTCTTTAGATCCACAATGGTATGGAAGACATGTACTCTCACATACACAGTCTACTTAGAATGCTCCATGCGCTTACAGTAGAATTTCAAACTAAGGCTATCGGTTGGCCCATTAAGTGGGCGTTCAAGTATTTTCAAAAGAAAAACATGAATCGACACGTAATCCTGTTGAAACAGTGTCTTCTAAGTATAGCGGGGAAAAAATCAAGAACAGTTTTAAGGCATAGTTGTGCTGCCTGGGTTACCGTTAAAGCTTACGAATTGCGCTTTCCTGTCATAATGACCTATAGTACTGAAGACATTCTATGTCTTCCTGAAGTCATGCTAATCAGTAGGCCAGACCATTGGAACCATCATTGGATTAGAGGCTATTTGAAGTATCTGCGACACGCTTCTGATTTTCACAAATGAACGTAAAATTCACCACGATCATCGTACGGTCTGAGGAAGTTCGGTATCTATCTTCTAGTCTAGCTGAAATATTTTTTCTATTATCTGTCGCGTTTGTTTTCACTCAATCCGTAATTGACGGCAAGAAGCACCCCTTCAGACAGGTTCATTCGGAGCTCGGTTCTTCTTGTGCTCATCATCCACGTCCATGTGTGTGGTCGTACACGCCCATGATATGCAGGAGAGCAATGAACCTTGAACCATAATCCAGTATGTAAATAATGAGCACCCTGTGTGCGCAAAACACCTTTTTGTGACGATGAGCACGACTCGCTGTTCATCAGACATGACCCAATCGGAGACAGTGTAGAAAACAATGTTTCCTCACGTGCTATCCGTTCCCATCAAAGAACCAAAAACGGGTTTTATGAGATTCACTCATTAGCACTGCATTGATTAGTCGATACACCAACCTCGGTAGATGTGCTTCTGATCTTCGTCGAAGTGGGGTGTATAGCCGATATTTAGAAAATGAGAAGTCTAGATGAATTGATTACGGAGATATACAGGAAAACACAGGTGACATTCACTGCATTCCGCGCACCATATGTGATTTGTTGTGCGTGTCAAATCCAATTTGATATCGATTGGGAGTATTTACCGATTAATCGACTCCGTATTATTTTTTTAAAGACATTCACCGAGCAGGCGGACCAATGAGAGTTAGAACAAACGAGTGTCTAGGAATACGGAATGCACATGAAACTATTTGGGTTTATGCTTTGACCAGAAAGTGAATACGTCATAATGACAACCTGGGTAGAATTGAAACTTGTGATCTATAGTTTGGGTGTAGTGGCGCAGTGGTTTAGTCGCTGTCACCGGCGTGCTTGGGCCCTATGGTCCCAGGTTCGAGCCCCGCCACCGCTACCCGACTTTGGTGGTAGGCAGCTCTGCTGTCGTCCGGTTGAATACCACACCTAACCTATCGGGGCCTTATGTGGTTGGCCACTCTAAGTCCCGAGGCTTATGTTGCCGGTTTCCAACACTGAACAGCAGGTCGTCGTGACTATGGGGTTCGCCCCGTCTGCTGTTTATCACACTAAGGTGTGTAATAATAAAACAAGACGAAAAAGAGGTAAATTGTGAGGTGCAACACGGAATGAATGATGACAATGATAAGCATTCCCGTTGCTGAGAATCCGAGAAGTGGAGCGTTTATGCATAACTCACCAAATGCAGTGTGCAGACTCGATTGTCTTTTATGACTGCTATTACTGTGATTGTGAAACTGTTGACTTTTCAAGGTTTGGACAGTTTTCACCCACACTGACAGGGCAGAACACATGGTTTATTTGTCACCTTTACGTAATAATTACCAGTAATATCGAAGACAATGTTTCCATCGATCGCAAACCCAATGAACCAGATCCCCAAATCTAGCGCATGGGTTTTTGAACATTCCTACCTTCCACCAGAAAGTANTATTTTATTCCTTCCGTACAAATGTGAATCCGGTAGCGAAATGTACACCATTCATTTAGGGTGGAATTATGTGGATAACAGAGGAATGGAGATGAAAATTAAAAACAACCGTATTGGATACATTCGAAAAAAATCGTCAGTGTCTTATACATGCGTCGGGTGGTGATCTCCGGTTGTCTGACTGGTTCGGAGATGACACCAAAAATAGGCTGGCTTCAATCGTGAGTGGAGCCAGATATCATGAGCCTCATTCTCATTCGTTCTCAGGTTCACACACACACACACACACACACACACACACACACACACACACACACACACACACACACAC